CTGTACCCCTAAGAGTCCAAGGACCCAAATAACAGGGTTTCAGGGCCCAACTGCTATGATATCAATGGTATTTGGGCCCTAAAACCCTATTATTTGGGTCCTTGGGCCCTGAGGCTACTATAAGTGGTTTCCATTTTCTTTTCCATTATCCCCTGTATAACCCCAACATACCCTATAGTCATGAGGCATACAGAAGCTACCCTAACCCCTGCAAGGATCTAATGGAGAGATCCTCCTAAAGGATTCCTTCCTCCCTACTCGGGCTGGGCCCTACGCTCTCTCGCTCTCTCTCTCTCTCTCCTTTTCTCTCTCTCTCTCTCTCTCTCTATATATATAATGTATGTATATATACATACATTATATACATATGTATATATATGTATCTACTCATCCATGATGATATAAAGCATCAAGCAGGCAGGCATTGTAATTTAGTTTTCAGACCGTCCAAGAGTTCTGGGTGAGGTTGAAGGTAGGAACTTGCCCAATTTATGGTGCTGTTTCGAGGATCTCTTTTTGTGGGGGGCAGTCTGGCGAATCCAATTTTGGCACAGATTTGTCCGGGAATGCGTCAGGTGAAAAAGCACGCTGGAAAACTGGACGCTCGGTTGCATGATATACTTGGGCCAACTTCTGACTTATAACTCGTATGGCTAAAAGATGCACGATTCTTATTTCGCCTTGTTTGCCGTGTCAGCTTCGGGCATTTTGGTGGGCCCTAAAACCCTATTATTTGGGTCCTTGGACCCTGAGGGTACTGTAAGTAGTTTCCATTTTCTTTTCCATTATCCCCTATATAACCCCAACATGATAGCATCCAAACCAGGTGGCATTGATTGAATCTGACCGCCTTCGCTCGAGCCCCAAGACTTGCATGACAGCCGCCTGACTGAGTGTCCTTATTAATAAAGGGATTTTGGTAACCCCAACCCCCAAAAATTAGGACCCTATAACCAGCATATGATAGTCATAGGGTCCTAACTTTGGGGGTTGGGGTTACCAAAATCCCTTTATTACTTATGGCAAGGCATGAAGGCCAGCAACATAGCAGAAGCAGTCCTTACCTCAGTCACGAAGAGGTTTGCCTCACCGCCAGCGGTCAAGATTTTGCACAGGTTGCAGCCATGAAAGAATTGCGGCTGGCACTGGTCGCCGCGCCTATCCACATCAGGCTCCATGGGCTTGAGTTGGCTGTCAGTATAATATACTATGATGTATTATACTATATTATAATATCTTTCAATATGTTTCAATATACCATAATGTACTATAATTTCTGGGTTGGCTCAGTCATGGACACCTCGTATTGCCCTCACTTCCTTGGACATGTTCCAAAACAAGTATCAAGAAGGCCCATTCCCCCTCAAAAAAGGACCCTAAACCCTAACCCTAAACCCTAAACCCATAACTTCTGGAGACCTCAAAGCGAGGTCTGCCATAAACGATTTCGCGGTGGCAACGCTTCGCCGCGCCGAGGCCCAGCATGCCTTGACCATGAGCTGTGCTAGTAATAATGGTAATACTTAGGGTTTAGGGTTTAGGGTTTTAGGGTTTTAGGGTTTAGGGTTTAGGGGTTTAGGGTTTAGGGGTTTAGGGTTTAGAGTTTAGGGTTTAGGGGTTTAGGGTTGCAATATTTCTAGTATAAGGAACAATTGTAAGAATCAATAATTAGTAGGAATAGTAGGGAATGAGGTTTGCATCAAAATCAGGGTCCCCTGTAAATACACCTGGAAGAATGTTGTTCTTATATGCTCTTCTTCTATGGACCGTCACACAACCCCTACAAACTGACCTATAATCGCAATTTCCATTTCATGTTCCATTTTGTTTTACATTTGTTATTAGGGGGAAAATAACTCTATATACCCCTCAAAGGGACTTAGGGTTTCCAGTCAATTTTCCAATTTATTTTCCATGTGATTCTCCATTATTGGGGATCATGATTTTGCAAAACCCACCCGCATTGCTTTTTCTGACAGCTTTGGCTCTGAGACTGCGCCGTCGCAGCAAGCGTCAGCACACCCAGCACCTACCACAACCAGCCTCTAAACAGGCAAGAATTGCCTGAAAAAATCTACTACCACCCCTAAAACCTAAACCTTAAGCCCCTACACCGCTTCACTAGGGTTCACATCCCTCTTTATCATGTGTAGCACTGCACTGTAAGGCAAGATTTGTTGCAACTGCTAGCAGCCGACGAAGACAGACACTTTGGCTCATTCTCGCCTGCCAACATGGGGGCAGCTCCTCCTTCGGTCCCAGGTGCCTCGGTTTAGGGTTTAGGGTTTAGGGCTTAGGGCTTAGGGTTTAGGGCTTACGGTTTAGGGCTTAGGGTTTAGGGTTCATGCAATGATCCTCCGTGCCCCAAATGCCTTCAGACATATTGTTGATGGAGGAAGGTCTGCATCACCTCAAGTCCTTCAACTCCTGTGAATTATAGTCCCCCTTAAGTAGATAGAATATGGCTTTGGGTACAGTGTAATCAGATCCCCATATACCCCATATTCTATCTACTTAAGGGGGACTATATCTTAATTTGCGTGCACTAAGTGGTGCGAGAGTTCTTCCATCAATTCATTGGAGAGTAGGAGAGTAGAGAGTCGTTGAGGCCGCGAGCCCTGTGCCAGACAAAGGCTGTCGGAGCCTTAGCAGGCTTACTGGGGGTTAGTAGGGAATAAGGGAAGGTATTATGCAGGGATCGCATTGATAGGGAATATTCCCTTATTCCCTACAACCACCAGTGAGCAGGTCCACAGCGGAAGAGTGAAGCAGTTGACTCCTCTTAAGAATGTTGGTGTTTCCATCTTTCGGGGTCCCTGTCCCTGTAATTCATACTGGTTTTAGTATTTTTGGGGGTATGAGGAGGCCCAAAGTTCTGAAGGTCGGCAACTTCGCTGGTGGTATCGGGCTTTGGGCTTTGGGCTCTGGCTTGGGTGCCTCCAAGACAACCTACTCCAAGACAACCTGGCATTCCTCCCACTGCACGTTCGGCGTTTTACCCTGGCGGGGGGCCGCGAGACGCTTGGCAGAAAGTAGGGTTTAGGGATTAGGGGTTTAGGGTTTAGGGTTTTAGGATTTAGGGTTTAGTGTTTGAGGTTTGTCTGCCAGGATGGCTATTGCAGGTAGCATCTTGAGCTTTAAGCGCGCGAGTCTCAATATTTCAGAGCTGCCCATATTCCTATTCATGAGCCGAGCTTTGTTGCGCGTCGGGCATTCGTCAAAAGATCACCAATAATTCCGAACAAGGACCCCGATACTATTTTCAATCCCGATAGTACAGTCCGGGATACTTCCCTCTTTTGAGAAATCTCATGAAATCTCATAAAGAGCGCCAGGAGCAATTGGCTGCTGTTGCTGCTTCACTTCGAAGGGAGCGAGCGATGATAGAAGAGAAGCAGCAACAGCTTCAGCGGACACTTGGCGTTTAGAGAGTTGGAAGTCTGGACCCCCTCAAATGGGCCTTTAGGTTTTCAGGATTTTTCAGGGGCGTCCTTGGACCTTGAAGAACATGTGGCATGTATTATCTACCACGTATACAGGGACCCCAGGATCAAAGGCCCACACTAGAGGCTTAGACCTTGCGCGGCAGCACTGTGGACAAGTGCGTTTGGCTGATACATGTTCTAACTCCTTCCAGCGCTGCCCTCCTTCAAGCCAACATGGAACCCCGTACACCTCCCTTTCCACAGGAAGGTAGTTTTCAAAAGGGCCATTTTAGAGTTCCATCCTATTTTCCTTACTTAGTCTCAGCTTGAAAAGATATAGTCTCCTTAAGTAGATAGAATATGGGGCATATGGGGATCTTATGGTAATATACCCAAAGCCATATTCTATCTTCTTAAGGGGGACTATATCCATTTTTCGTAGATTGATCGAAGATGCTTTGTCCGAGGGCCGCTTCGGTCTTGGCGCAGCAGAAGCGCCAGATTGAGGCAAGGCAGAGCCAGTTAGAATAGGGTTTAGGGTTTAGGGTTTAGGGTTTAGGGTTTAGGGATATAGGGTTTAGGGTGTAGGGTTTAGGGTTTCCCCTGGGAAACAGAGCCCCGCATCCACCTCCCTAAAGTTAGATGTTCCCCCCAACATGCAGAATGGTACTATACTAACAACATTGGTTATGAGGCGGTGGAGGCTTGATTATCAGGAAAAAAGTGGATCACAGTTTCTGCCAGTGGGTTTTGCTGCAAGTTTTGCGGTGCTGCTACCCTAAACCCTAAATTGCTGCAATCCCTTGATCTGCAGGAAGAGTACCAGGCACAAGCTATTGAAATCCAGGACAGGGTGCTTTAATGGGGCAGTAACAAAACTGGGTAGGCCCCTGGGATATTTAATATTTTCTCTAATGGCTTTAATAAGGGACCCTATATACCATTTTTTTCAATGGGTTTTAGGTGCCAACCTAGACAATGTTGCAATTGTACTTGTAGTAAGACCGTTCCCGTCCTTATTTAGGCGGTATGACGGTGGGAGCAGTATCCAAAGATGGTTTCATGATGTGACCCTCTACATGCGGTGCCAGGCTTTTGGCTTTTTATATGAGCTACTGTCTAAACTCCTGGTATCCCCCTTAATAACCCCTATAGTAGTCCCCTATATAATCCCCTACATATCCCCCTTTAAGGAGTTTAGCCTAAAGCTCATATGGGTTAAGATTTACGAGGTCTTCTTGGCTCTACCAGAAAGAGGCTGCCCAGAATCAGAAGCCCAAGCCCTGAAGCCTCAACCTTGACCACCCCTGACCGAACCCCAGCCCCCTTATATAGGGGGAATGGAAAAGAAAATGGAAACTACTATAGGGTGTGTAATTATGTATATATAGGGGTAATATTGAGATAATGGGAAAGAAAATAGAAGCTACTATAGGGTGTGTGTGTATATATAGGGGTGATGGAAAAGAAAATGGAAGCTACTAAGGGTTATATAGGGATTCTATTATGGGGGGTTGTGTCCTCAAAAGCTTGAAATCCAAAACTCCTTCACGTAACACCATGCAACTGCACATGGCAGCTTTACCATGCCATAATCCCTCAAATCACACCTGCCAAGATGTAACGGATTTAGGTCTCGGGGTTTAGGGTTAAGGCTTTGTATCCGGAGAGAGTAAGGATGCTGAAGCAGAACAAGAAGCCTAAAGTCAAGCAGGAAGCCTAACCCTAAACCCTGCACTCCTAAATGGTGAGGTAGAACGGCGAATGAGCCCATTGAGTTGAAGGTAGAATTAAGATTTCAATCCCCGGGCTCCTTTATAGTATATTAGGGTTATATAGGGTTATAGGGAGAGTGGAAGAGAACATGGAAACTACTATTTAGCGATTAGGGTTTCCCAAAATAGGGGTACCTTTCTAGAACATAGAGTCTATAGTTTAGGGGGCCGATGAGCGTTAGCGCCCTAAACCCCGAACTCTAAATCCTAAACCCTAAACTAGATGTCTCTTCATGGTATACCACTGAGGTATAAGCATCATATGAACTATTGTCTAAGGTCTTCAAGTGGGTTATAAAGGAGTTTAGATTATAGCTCCTGTAGCACCTGCACTTGGGGGCCTATTTTTTCCGGACATCCTGTAGACTCATTAAGGAGCAGCTAATGAGATAGCCTAATATGTAAGCGACAAGCCTAACAGCTTCCAAAACAGAATATACCTAATACCGTGCTGATACATGATGTGAGAAGGGTGGTTAAAATTGCTGCAGACCAAATACTGGAAAAACATATTTCTTAATGGACACAATTTGTGCGATTCAGAGGCGCGTAGTCGAAGCTAGATCCAGAGGGCGCACTATGCCAAGAACCGCGGCGCTTCACATGAACAAGTTTTCCCGGTTTGCAAGATGAAGTATGCAGCCATTTAAAATCTGCTCATAACTAGTACGCTGTGAAACCGGGTTACTTCGAACAACCGTGAAACAAAGGTAAAGTCTACCCTTGTCCAACTAGGCACAGCAAACCTTGCCAATCTTTGTCAAGATAGTCTCCGAAACATCTCCTGGCATGTCAAAGGTGGCCGCAACATTCCCTTCCTCGATGTCGCAGGAATGTTTTTCAGGATCAGTAATGTTTCACAACACAATGCTTAATTTTTATTTAAACGATCCATTCCATAAGTCAAGTTGCAGCTTCTACTTGGCAAGCTAGGCTCCAAGAGAATGGACAAACCAGTGGCAAGAATGCCCAGACATACTCTTCTGAGAATATGAAATAGTAATGTTTCGCCAGCAGGGCCAGGAACCCCCTGTCGAGCCCAGCGCGGGCAACCATGCTGAGGTTGCCCTTAAATAGTTGTAATGAAGGAAAGTCAGGATTTCTTGTGGGAATCTAGAGTTCCTTGCTCTACCTTACCTTAAACCCCGAATCCCCAAACTCTAAACCCTAAACCCTAAATGGTAGTAGCTTCCATTTTATTTTCCATTATCCCAATATATCCCCATGGTGGTGATGCCAAGAGATGGCTCAGGGTCGCTCTTAGTGGTAAAATGTGATCAGATCATTTGATGGGCCCATGAAGTTCGCTTTCCAGCTTAAGACGTAGAGTGCTGGCCTGTTCAGAAACCAATGAAGATCTCATGGCCAAATGCCTCCAGAAGGCATGGTATACTGTCCCACGCAGAACGCCCAACGCATTCAAAACGTAAGTTTAGGTAGCACGACTTGCGAATCTCTTGATTTGGACCACTTACACTGGTAAGTGTTCCTAAACTCTAAACCCTAAACCCTAAAGCCCTTTAGCAAGCCCTACGCCTCAGAATCCTTAGTCTGGTCCAGGAGTTCAAGTCCAAAGCAGAGCAGATGCTGAAAGCCGAGCGAGCGGCTCTTGAAACTTGCTGGCCGCAGAGAATGGCCGATATCATAGGGTTTAGGGCTTAGGGTTGGGGTGCATAACAGGGTCCCTGTAGCACCTCTTGCAGTGATTTCATTGCCCCTAACCGACTAGCCATCAGCAAGGAGAAGGAGAAAGCTCGCTTGACCAAAGAGTCCGAGGTGTCGTGGTCTTGGGGCTTTGGTGGTGCAGGGAAGGGTTGGTAGCACATTGGTAGTTTCCCCCAAAACAGGGTGACCCCAATAGAATCCTCAGCATAGGGACCCTCAAGGGGGTACCCCCCAGTTTTGGGAAACCCCCGGTTTAGGGGTTGGGATGTAGGGGTAGAAGGTCCGGCGGTTGAGGGGTTTAGTTCTTTGAGGTCTTTGGGGTCCGGGACCTGCACCATACTATGATTTAAGCTTTAGGGTCTTGTAAGTTCAGTACTTCTTGCAGTTTAGGGTTTAGGGTTTAGGGTTTGTGAATTCTGCCAGTGTCTACTACACTGCATGTGCAGGCTTCCTCGAATTATGGGCCTCGAGGTTGGGGTGCCTTTTTTTCAAGAGCTGGAGTGTTTGGGGAGTGGACCGGGGACCGGTACTGATTTTGAGACATGCGCATGTCTAGAATATTGGGTTCATCACCAGGATTAGTTTTCTGGTGCCAGCACTCTCCCTCTGAAGTTTTGTGACGCACTCAACAGAGTCCGGTGGGTCCCAAATCAGGGCCCCCTGTTCTGGGCTCTTGGAGAACAACATTTTACATTTTTATGGATACCTGGGCCCAATATCAATAAAACAAGATCTTGTTTAATTGTATTTCCAGTAAGAACCGAGTGTTCCTGTTCATAAGAATGAAGATCTTTTCCTCTCTATTCCGATGTTCGATCAGGGACCCAGGGGTTCTTTGCATGTTCCCCACATTTGGCTTAGAAGGGACACTCTCTAAGCCAACCCAAAACTCCAAACCCAAAACCCAAACACCGAAAACTCAAACTTGAATCCAAGCCCTCAAACCCTAAACCCTGAACCCTAAACCCTAAACCCCTAAACCCTCAAACCCCCTAAACCCTAAACCCTGAACCCTAACTAGGCTCTAGCGCTGTCTCAGCAGACTCTCATGCAGCGAGCAGAGGCCATGAGCAAGCCACAGCCTTACTGGCTGTTTTGGGGTTTAGGGTTTAG